ACCGAGTGCCTGCCAGCTCGACCACAGCCATCACACAGCCTCTGCCTAGGCCTCGCGCCTCAGCCAATCACCCAGTCAGGCCAGCTCAGCACCCTCATCCGAGCAACGCGGTCAGTTTAAAGGCAACTTCCTGACAAACAACGCTTCTGGGCTCTTACATGGGCAACCGGCCGCTGCTGCCGGTCCCTGCTGACTACTAATGCCTGTTCCTAAGGCTGGCTAACTGCTGCCTCGCTCCGTTCCTGCTGCTACACTGCTCCTACTTACCGCAGCCTTGTCCATGCTGCCAGCTCCTGCTGGTCCTACAGATTGCCTGGTTCCGCTGCCGCTCCTGCTGCTGCCTGGTTCCTCTGCTGCTCTGCTGCTCCTAGCTGCCGCCAGATCCCGCAGTGCCTGCTCGCTGCAGCTCCTGCCTGTTCACCTGCGCTCCTGCTGCTGACTGTTCTGCTTGCCGCTCCTGCTGCAGCCTGTTCCTGCTGCCTGCTCCAGCTGCTCCTACTGATGCCTGTTCCGCGGCTGCCTGCTTCCGCTCCGCTCCTGCTGCTGCCTGCCTCCTGCTGCCGCTCCTGCTGCAGCCTGCTCCTGCGGCCTGCTCCTGCTGCTTGCCTGCTCCTGCTGCCTGCTCCCGCTGCTGCCATGTTCCTGCTGTCGCTCCTGCTGCTGCCTGTTTCCTGCTGCCGCTCCTGCTGCTGCCTGCTTCCTGCTGCCGCTGCTGCTGCTCCCTGTTCTGCTGGCCTGCTACCTGCATGCTCCTACTACTACACGGAGCCGCTGCATGCTGTTCCTGCCGCTGCCGCTCCGCGGGCTCCCAGGCAGCACCTGTCTCTACGGCTCGGCTCTTTCAGGACACGTATGTACCCCTGGCTCACGGCGACAAGCGGCGCCACGCTGGCGTGACATGGACTGCTTGCCCGTGATGAATCGCACTGTGGAAGCGTCGTAGATCTTGTCCCGGGCCGTGATTGTACCGTGCACATCGTTTGTTTGGGTCAGATCCTGCTTAGACCCGCACTGGCTCTGCTCGTCAGTGCTTATTGGCGCCGCTTCCATAAACACGTCCAGGCTCCGATTGTCACTGCCTGCTCAAGTTCCTCCGTGCGCCAGTTCAAACTCAGCGTATGCTTGGTGGCAAGCAAACATTACCATTATGGCGTCTATCCCTAATCAGTCATCCTTCATACGGCCCGAATTGTTCGTATTATAAGGCTTACTGTATCGGTCTCCGAGGGCTTACCGACCTCTTGCACGTTCAGGGTGACTAGGAATCTGCAGCTCAGGCGCCTCTCCTGATTGGTTGCTCCCCAGACAAAGGGCCTAATGTAATAATTGCCCGCTCAGGGTGGAAGAGGACTCTGCAAGTATTTGACGCCTGTCTGCTTTGGACGCTCCCATAGGTTGAAGCAAAGTGGCGTTTAGCTTCAAGGCCCTGTGCACGCGCAAACTGGCGTATGTAGAAATGCATGTTAGTTATAGCAACGCATGGCACGTTAATTTGTAATAGCACAATTCATACACAAGGCACTACAAAGTGTTCTTGAACACATAAGAAAGCATTAAAATCATAGGATATTCACAGCAGACCATTAAAAGAGAGGATAGAACTATATGTTTTGACCTTCCAGTCTTACACCTTGTCAGAGAGGAGGCCTGTCTCGCATCATTCAGGAAGATTGATCCAGCTATTAGCAGTGTGAAATGCTGAAAGGCAGCCTACCCACGATAGATCTGACTCTGGCCACGAACAGTGAGTCAGGTCCCAGAGCTGCACTCAGAGTCCGGGCTGGATACCTCATATGGGACTAACATGTCTCACGATACTATCTGTTGGTGCGCGGCCATGGAGGGCCTCGAACTTGTCATATGTGCATGCACATGTCGGTACCGTTAGTATACGCTGCGTGCCAATTTTAATTAGCATTATGTATAAGTATAATGCGTATGTGTTTTCTCGTCTCTTAAGCACGCTACGCTTCGACTCAGTTTCTCATCCGGGCTGTCTCTGCTCACGTCAACCATTTCCGTAAGTTATAATCGTAAAATATGGATAAGCTGCTTAGCACTGAATGATGTGAGTTACCTTCGCAGGACGACGGGCTATTCCGTTACAAGACAACCTGTTCCAAACTGAGGCCCAGGGAAATCTGGGTTCGTACATACTTATTCCCGGAGTCGTCCATTCTCAACTTCAGCGGCAGCCCATATAGCGTGTCGTAACCCCGTTTACTGAGATCGTAGTAGTACCCGTGGTCGGGCTCGATCTCACGCGAATCTGTAGCATTAGCGAGCCGACGCGAGGTCGTATCACAGCCCACTTTCAGCTATTTACATCGTATCGTCCTAACGTATTCGGACAGTCCCATGCGGTTTCGCCTACGAGACGGCCCCGGGGAACGTAGTGTGGCGATCTGAAGCCGCCCTCGTAACTGACAATCCTCGAGCCCCCTCCGCGTGTACAGTCCATTCTTGCTCAAAGGGACGCGATTGCCCCCGGTCATTAGCAGTGATGTTTCATGTTATCCTGAGCAGGGCTTGGCGTCGATATCCAACAGTCGTTTAATGCATTTGATTCCACCTGCCGAGCGGAGTTTAGCCAGTTCTCCCCACGTCCGGCCGGTTTGCTCCGGATCCACCCCGTTGCACTGCCCTTCCCTCACCTGCTACCGCGTGCCTGCCCATTGCTCCGCCCCTCCGCCTCAATCCGGGCGCTCACTCTCCGAATCTCCGCGTGGGGTCTTAGTCGGGAGGGCCGCATGCCACACACGGTCACACCAGCTCTCACGGCCGACTCTCATGGCCTCAGGCGTCAACGTAACGGTTGCACCGCACTGCTGCACGTACACCGGTGGCCGCCTGCTGTTCTCGTAACTAATTCTGCACCGTTGGCCGCCTCATTGCCGTCGATTCTGCGTTTCCTAATTGCATCAAAGAAAGCTCTCTCCTGTCCAGAGAAGGAGCTACGGGTCGGTATATCATGTATGATCTCTCCCTTATGTAGCAGGGCGCTCTTGACTGCACGGGCCGCGCCTTTCGCAATCAATCTCGTACGCAAATAGGCCCTGGTCATTACCCGCGCGGGCCATGGCCCATCCATACGCGGGGCTCGTCCCTCTCAAGCCGGGCAGCCGACAGGCCCGACACACCTTGCCACCCGGCACACGTGATGACCACTCAATCGAAGGATTGTAAGATGGCTTCCCTCAGCAAGGCACTGGAGATGCGCAGGGTCAGAGGAGGAGGAGGACACGGTCTCTTGGTCTTCCTGTCCTACTTTCACGTCCACACCAGGTGCTGCTCATCCGGCTGGGGCGCCTCCTACCTCGCCGTGCACGAACAATCCTAGGCCGTGGATCATCCCAGGCACCAGCTCGCTCAGCCACCTGATAACCTGATACGGCAGGGTGCAGCGCTGACCTCCGCTTCAGCTGTGCCTGCGGAACGGCGATCTTTCATGCAGCCCGCTCCTAACATTCCACTTACATATTTCTATATTTCAACGGGGACAGCGGCTCAGACGTGGGTTTTATGGTGTGTTCCTAACAATGCCAGTGTGAAAGCAGCACCCTGGCCCCAAGGACCTGTAACATCCCCCAATCACTATAATCCCTGCCTTCACCACTCCGACAGGAAGGTTGCCGTTCACACTATCATAAAGCCTACTTTTCCCCTGTCAGATCAAAACACCAGATGGAACAAGGTCATCACGTGCGCCGGGTGGCCAGTGTGTGACGGCCAGACGCCGGCCCGGCTTGAGATGGACGAGCCCCGCGTAGGAAGGGCATGCCCCGCGCGGGAATGACAGGGCCTATTGCTACGAGAATAATTCGCAAGGCGCGGCCGTGCAGCAAGAGCGCCCTGCAACATAAGGGAGAGATTAAACAAGAACCGACCGAATCTCCTTCTGGACAGGAGAGAGCTATCTTGATGCAATTAGGAAACTCAGAACGACGGCAAAGAGCGGCCACGGAGCAGAATAAGTACGAACAGAGCGGCACCTGAGAACGAGCAGTAGAGCGAGCAACCGTTACGATGACTCAGAGCCATGAGAGTGCGGCAGAGAGCATGTGACCGTTGTGGATGCTGCCCCCTGACTCCGCGCGGAGAATCGGAGAGAGATCGCCCGCATGAGGCGCAGGGCGGATCAATTGCACGCGGTAGCAGTGAGGGAAGGCCAGAGCACGTGGAGGATCCGGAGCAAACCGGCCGGACGAGGGGAGAACATGCAAAACTCCGCACGGAGGTGGAACAAAGCATAAAACTACTTTTGATAATCGACACCAGCCTGCTCAGGATAAAATGAAACACACTGCTAATGACCTGGGGCAACGCGTCCCTATGAGCAATATTTACTGTACGCGGAGGGGGCTCGAGGATTTCAGTACGAGGGCCACTTCAGTCCGCCAGACTAGTCCCGGGGCCGACACGTAGGCGAAGCCGCATTGGACTGGTCCGAACTTTAGGACGAACTATGAAAGAGCTGAAGTTGGCTGAATGACGACCTCCTGTCGTCTCGCTAGCTACAGATTAGCGGGGATTCGAGCCCGACCGAGAACAGAACATCTCAGAACGGGTTACGACGCGTCTATATTGGCTGCGCTGAAGTAGAATGGACGACACCGAATAAGTATTTACGAACCCGGATTCCCTTGGCCTCAGTTGGAACAGGTTGTCTTTTAACGGAATAGCCCGACGACCAGCGAAGGTAACTCACATAATTCATTGCAAAGCATCTAATCATAATTACGATTAAACTACGGAAAGTTTGACGAGAGCAGAGACAGCCCTGATGAGAACTGAGCGAAGCGAGCTTAAGACTATAAAACACATACGCATATACATATACATAATATATATGCACGCACGTATACTACGTACCTACATGTGCATGCGCATATACAAGTCGAGTCCCTCCATGGCCTCGCACCAACATATAGTAGTGACATGTTAGTCCCATATGAACCAGCCCGGACTCTGAGGAGCACAGGGACTGGACTCCTGTTAGTGTCCAGAGTCAGAACTAACGTGGGTAGGCTGCCTTTCAGATTCACACTGCTAAAATCTGGAACAATCTTCCTGAAGATGCGAGACAGGCCTCCTCTCTGACAATGTTTAAGACAAGGTCAAAACGTATATTTCTATCCTTCTTTTTAATGTTCTGTGAATATCTATGATTTTAATGCTTTCTTATTTTGTTCAGCACTTTGAATTGCCTTGTGTATGAATTGTGCTATACAAATAAACTTGCCATGCTTTGCTATACAACATGCATTCACGTACGCCATTATGCGCGTGACAGGGCCATGAAGCTAAACGCACTTTCTTCACCTTATGGGAGCGTCCAATTCAGACAGGCGTCAAAACTGCAGATTCCTCTTCACCCTGAGCGAGCAATATTACATTAGGCCTTTGTCTAGGGAGCAACCAAATCAGAGAGGCGCCAAAGCTGCAGATTCCTATTCACCCTGAACGTGCAATATGTCGTTAAGCCTCGGAGACCGATACATTAAGCCTTAATACGAACAATTCGGGCCTTAGGAGGAGGCTGATTAGGGAAGACTCCAAAATGTAATTTTGCATGCCACCAAGCACGCTGGAGTTTGAACTGTCTCACGGAGGAGACTTGAGCAGCAGTGACACGGAGCCTGGACGTGTTTAAGGAGCGGCGCCAATAAGCACTGACGAGCAGATCAGAGCGGGTCAGAGCAGGAACAGACCCCAAACAAACGATGGCACGGGACAACCACGGGCCCGGGACAAGCACGTACGACGCAACCACAATGCGATTCATACGAACAACAGACCATGTCACGCCAGCGTGCGCCGCTTGTCTCTGTGAGCCAGGTTACATACTGTACGTGTCTGAAAGAGCCGAGCCGTAGAGAGGTGCAGCCTGGGAGCCCGCGGAGCGGCAGCGGCAGGAACAGCAGCAGCGGCACATGTAGTAGTAGGAGCAGCAGGAGCAGGCAGCAGCAGGAGCAGGCAGCAGCAGGAGTAGGCAGCAGCAGGAGCAGGCAGCAGGAACAGGCAGGCAGCAGGAGCGGCAGCGGAACAGGCAGCAGCGGGAACAGGCATCAGTAGGAGCAGCAGGAGCAGGCAGCAGGGACAGGCAGCGGTAGGAGCAGCAGGAGCGGCAGCAGCAGGAGCGGTAGCAGGAACAGGCAGCAGCGGGAACAGGCATCAGTAGGAGCAGCAGGACGGGGAGCAGGCATCAGTAGGAGCTGCAGGAACAGGCAGCAGCAGCAGCGGGAACAGGCATCAGTAGTAGCAGCAGGAACGGGGAGCAGGCATCAGGGAACAGGCATTAGTAGGAGCAGCAGGGACCGGCAGCAGCGGCGGTCAGAGAACCATGCCCATGGTTGTTTAAGAGCCTCAGGAAGCGTTGTTTGCCAGGAAGTGGCTGCCTTTTAAACTGCCCGCTTTGCTCTGAGAGGGTTGGCAGGAGGCTGGCCTGGCTGTGTGATTGGCTGAGGCTCAGGGCTGGCAGGCACTCGGTCTTTCAGTCTGAACATCCGCTTGAGCTTCATAATCATCAATAACAGGGGTTAGGTGTGCCCCCCCACACGTTGAGAACCACTGTGTTTTACAGGTGAAACTCAGATAATTAGTATATTCTGTAATACAATTCAACGTATTAAACTATTATGTTTTAGACTCATGCTAAGTCCAGCCTTTGTTTGAGTTTGATTGTATGGCTTACGGCTTAAAGAAACCAAAATTCTCAATCTCACAAGGTTAGAATATTACTTTTACATATTTTGCATTGTTGACTTTCATGTCTGATATTTCTTTTGAAAAAGCCCTATGCATTCAGGTGCCAATTCCTGCTGCAAAATCCACTTGCATCTTCATAAACCTTGTCTGCTGAAAGAAGCGTGACGTACAGTACTCTAAAAACTCCAGAACCAACCGAAATACATGGTAAATCCCAAACCATCACAGACTCTGGAAACTCTGGAAGCATTTGTGTGCTTCTCCATTCAATTCAATTCAAATTACTGCATTTATCCCTGAGGAACTATGTTTACAGACAGAGCACCAGTGGGGGTACATATAAAACACAGAAACATCAGATATAATATATACATCAAAACAGATCTCCAAATCATCTGTTTAAAAGGTTCTTCTCCATTCTTCCTCCAGAGTTGGGGATCCTGGGTTCCAACTTTGAAACACTGAGCAACAGTATGTAAGTAATCTTGTTGAGGAATTATGTGGGTTATCATTAAAATATAATCTAGATATAAGTGAGGTGTTGAAACCAAGCTAATAATTATCCACATTGTCCACAATGGGTTTTTTGTGAAACTATGTTGCAAGACAGTGTCCAACAAGTGGTTAATGTTTTACTTGTTGGGCTTTTCCATGTGTGAGGGTGTGGGTTTTTCTGTTCTGAATAAATAAGCTGCCTGTAGAGTATCGAGCAGGACTGTGTAGGACGCTACAGGCCTCCTTCGCAGCTGAAAGGCATCTCCTCCTTGTTCCATGCAAGTAAAAACTAATACCTTGTCTGTTGTGTGCGTCTGTTCAGATAACTGTAATAGAACTCATTTTTAACAAATCTTTATTTATATAGCGCTTTCCACAGACTAGAGTCACACAGCGCTTTACAATTGTGGGCATCTCACTCCACACAGAGATGGGAGCAGGGTCAGCAGTACAGGAGGTGCATGCCAGACTTATTGTACATGTTTTTAGTTGTAGGGGAAACCGGAGCACCCAGAGGAAACCGGAGCACCCAGAGGAAACCGGAGCACCCAGAGGAAACCTACGCAGACACGGGGAAAACATACAAACTCCGCTCAGAAAGGCCCTGTTCCGACCAGGATTCAAATTCTTTCACTCCTAAGATGCTTCGGACGTTTGTAGTTCAAGAGCGGGACTTCAAAAGAGGGATACATCTTTAGCCCATATCCACAACAAATCTGTGTGCTAGACGGATCCGCTCCCTCTGCGAAACCTTTTTTGCGTGAAGAATACTGGATTGATTATCTTATACAGACATCATTTCTTTATGCACCATTTTGCCTCTTTCTGAACTTCTCTGCTTTTCATACTTCCCATCTCTGATCTATTAAGATGTTATGAAACAACGAGGCCCACTTGTGTGTTCCTGTGCTCAGGTAGTCCCCTCACGTAGCGGGCCCACACCCCTGACCCAGTGTATGCCAGTGCAGCCTAGACGCGAGGTAATTAAACAGGGATCAGGCTGCTCTTTATCAAGGGCTCTTCACTGCTGGGCTGAATTAACCTCTGCCCACACACACTCCAGCACAGACATCCACGCACACAGATTATTAAACATGCAATCTTGTACACATAATAATGCTCGGTGATTAGGATTCTCTACATGTTATTGAATGTGTGTTTAACATTGGATGTATGTGACAAATACACCCATCGATCCCAATTTCCTTCCCTGAAATTTGGGGATTGCACGTCGCATTTCTATGGGGAAGATGTAAAAAATCAAAATAAAACATTTGTATTCCGCATATTTCAGCCAAGGACTGAGCCATAGCTATTGTGATATTTAAATGTATGCAAATATTGTGACAATATGATGACTATGAAAAGGGGATGTTTTACTTTATTGTGTGTGTGTGTGTGTGTGTGTGTTTCTATACCTGTCTATACATACAATACAATACATTCTAAATCCCAGCAGTAGTGATCTCAGAGGACTTAACAAAATCATTGAAATCACCAACACAGATCAGAGAATCAACAGTTTAGACACACAAACAGAACCCATATGAATTGGTCCATAGGGAGAGACCAATGTTCATCAATGGTGAAAAATGTCCATACATGTTGTAGAATGTTAAAGTGTCCTGGATCATCACCACAGTCCTTCTTGTTAGACACAAACTGTCCAACCAACAGTATGTGTCTATACATGTCTATATATATGTTGCATAAAAGAGATTATATAACTTTTAAACATGTTTGCACGCTTCCTGTCTTTTCGCACACCCCGAATGTACATTTCTCCATTGAGAGGTCTATAAAGCTTGCCTTATCTGATCTTATCGTACATGTTTTATATATGTAAGATAAGATCAGAGTCACACACACCAGACTCATATAAAAATATCTATAAAGTACACTTAAAAACCATCCATTCTTTATGTATACTGTGTAATATGAGCCTGATTAATCAAACGTCTGTGTTCTTTGTGGCGTCCTGTGGAGCGCAGTCTGCTCCAGTGAATGCAGCAGCTGTTTGCTCCATTGAGCAGGAAGGACACAAGAACAGGCTCTACACATGTTTAGAAATATGAACTACATTAGCACGCAGCACCTCTAGTGCAACACTACTCTACAGAGACTGTGAGCTGAAGTGTTCTCTCCCACACAGCAGCAACAGTTGTGAGTCTGTCGCTTGCTTTGTTCTTTTGCTTGTTGTCTTTTATGCAGGTGCGGTCCGGATCACAGCGTAGAGCTTGGCAGCAGCTGTTGGGCCACCTGCAGAGGTGAATGTGCAGCGCCAACCGCATAAAGTCTGACTGGGGAATAAAAACAGGTTCTCATGAAGGCACAAGTGTCCGTAGTGGGAGCGCTAACGGTGGCGATGGAACGAGAACCTTTTTATCCCAGAGAGAGGCGGGTGCAGTGGTGTCCGCCCTGCGCGTCTGGCCTCAAGCCTTTGTCTGAGCAGCAGATGCTTTTTCTCGACAGGTGCACAGGGAACAAACAAACCACAGCCCTGCAGAGCGGCAAGATGTGAGTTTGAACAAGAGGCTGTGCAAAATACAACACACCTGACATTTCCATGATGTATCATTGTAGGAAGGTAGGTTTGTATCAGGCAGTGACTTTTCGTCTGCTCATACTTAAGGTGAAGTCAGAGCTTTACCCTTTAATTTTCACTCCTTGTAGAAAGCAATGACATTTTTTCTTTTTAGTATTTTTGAAAATTTAGGAGCAGTAAAAATATGTTTTTTTAACGCCTAGTTTTTGATTATAGATCTATAGCACATGGTTGGCGTGAGATAAAGATAATATAAAAATGTATTGATCTCTCAATGGAGAAATTTACTTTTTACATGTATTGATTTTTTTTGGGTTATTTATTCATTTGAGGTTAAAAGTGCCTAAAGCTCAGAGAGAGATGCCCCAAACGGGTATATTTGAGTTCCAAGCTTAAGGTAGATAGTGACTCAAGTACCAAATTGTTGAGGAAACCATTTGGTTAAAGTTTCAAGTCAGGAATAAGATGGACTTTCTCATTTCAGTTTTATTAAGATTTAAGGAGAAGGCAATAAGACGTTTATAGAAATAAAACAAAACTCCACAGAGACTAGCCGAAGCAGACGTATACATTTTTTTTCTACTACTCAATTTGTTTGTCAAAAGACCTTGAAGGAAAGTGACATGAATTGTATTTTGTGTGAAACGTTACTGCATTCCCCAGTGCCGTCTCCTCTGTGCCAAAACAGACAAAAATGTACATGTGCAATCATTTGAATAGAAATATTTTATTGTTGTTCTTGTTTATGTAAATATATGCAACACGTCCTCTGTGGTATTTGTGGTGTAACGTTGCTATTGTCAGAGTCTGCTGCTTTTGTTCACTCGCAGAGCACCCTAGTGCTGCGGTGCAGAACTTTTACTGTCATCACACGTCCTCACTTGCTGCCATGGCAAAAGTATAAACCTTAGGTTTCAATTGCATTTATTGAAACACAACCAAAACTATGTTTGAACCTTCATCATCTAATAACTAAGTAAATAATAAGGAATGTGTTTCAGTTCCATATTTCAATCAAATTTGTAAAATTATGAGACAATATATAATGTCACTTGAGTTACATTCATCTAGTAGATTCATAGACAGTATATATTAACGGACGTAGTCACACCTATGTCCGCCAGTCTAACTAATGGGCCAAAAATTGGGCTTTCCATGGAGTGATTCAAAATGGCAGCAGGGGCTGGAAAATGTGGAAAAAAGCATCTGCGCATGCGTCAGCCGGCACGAGCCCCATTCATTTAAACGAGTGACTTCAAAAATTCACAGCGTGTAAACTAGAGTGTTCCAAAATAATTCACTCCCCTCAGCATTGACACACATATGGAACCATGTGGTCAATGGTTGGGCCAATAGCCAACTTTTGGACCATCCTGTAAAGGTGTCGAGAGGTAAGAAGATGCTATATGTTAGCATTGGCTAATTCTTATTCAGGGTCCACCCCCATTGGCCCGGGGTGGTATTGCAAGCATGTCAGCGCACGTCATTTTGGCCACTTTTGAGTTGGGACCGGCCCCCACTGGAAAAAACGCATCTGCGCATGCGTCAGTCGGTGCCTTCAAAATTCCACAGCGACTAAACTAGACTGGTATAAAAAATACACGATTTTTGGACAATCTTGTAAACCCGTTCATGAGAGATAAGAAGACGCTATACATTAGCATTGGCACACCCCCATTGGCCCGGGGTGGTATTGCAAGCATGTCATGGACATTTTTGAGCCGGGACCTGCCCCCACTGAGCAGATTTCCCTTGGCTCAAGGCAAGGAAGTTTATTTGTATCACAATACTTCAAGACAGGAAACAAGACAGGCTGCTTGGTGCTGATGGTGTCTGTGCTTTAATTTGAATGGCCTGTTTGAACTAGGTCTTTCATCCTATGACCAGTGCCTTCTCGCAGTCCATGATGGGTAATCCTTTACTGTGGTCTGATATAGCGAATAATTAGTATAATTGGACCCTTGTTTAAATAAGGGTGCCATTCACGCGCATCAAAACACTGAAATATCTTGCCCTGATCATCATGATGGGGTCTTTGATGTGTGTGATGTGTGTGGTCCCCAATGGTTTACTAAACTGGGACAAATCTGATTATTCACACATTAATGAAGAAAAATTTTAATTTCAGGGATAAAATATGAAGTGGCTTTAATGAGGCACTTATAGGGTGTCTCTCTAGTGTCTCGGAGTGAATGTGGCATGTTTGACACCAGCAGCTGGAGACGACAGCAGGAGAACACAAGCAGAAACAACTCGGCACGCAAGATTGTATGTTGTTCAGACAAGGACGGAAAATACATTTTGTTTGTAGTCAAATATCTCATCATGTTAATTCCTTTCAGCATCATCATTTACTTTATTTCATCATTGCTTCGGTAATATGACTCTATGTTTAAAAAGTTTTACATTTGGGCTTCAGTGGTCGCTCCTCAGCAAAAAAGTTCTGGGGTTTGCATGTTCTCCCTGTGTCAGTGTAGGTTTCCTCCTCCTTTGCCCCTCATCCTTTCCCTACTACTACAAACATGGTTAAAAGGGTAAAATCCTGCTGACCTGGTATTACTGACCAAGCTGAGTATCAACATCTGGAAATGGGCTTTGTAGGACAGGTCAAATACAGAGGACAAATATCCCTATGGGGACAATCATGTATAACTTAACCCTTTTGTGGTTTAGCAAAGATTAAATTATGTATCACAAGGACAATGCACATTATTTCATGACCAACAAAAACAGTGTGTATAAGAGTAAAATATAAGTATATCAATCAATCAATCAAGTGTTTATTTGCCTGGGACTTACCAAAGTGCTGTATAGAGACTGAAAAAACAGCCCAATAAAAACACTTAAAAATACAGAAATTTATATACACATTCAAACTGAAAACTTAAGTAAAAACAGTGGTTTTGTCTCAGGGACTCAAAAATACATAAAAAACAACAGATTGTGTAAATAACATGGTCCAAATCTGTTAAAAGTCTATAATCTTATTACCCACCTTGTGTTTTACATTCTCTCACGTTTCACAGGCTCTAGGCTACAATGTGTCACATGTAAATTTAAACAAACTCACAAAGCCGGAGTAAATAAGCACAAATCTGAGGATGAAAGAGGCTTGTGCTCAGACATTTACCTGCAGGGAGTACATAGCAGCCTTATATGTAGCTGAACGAGAAGTGTGGTGGTTGTGTGCAGAGTGGGTGCATTCTGCGTTGATGGTCACTGTGAGAGTTGAGCCCACGCCAGTGTTTGTGCTGATTCAGAGCCTGGTCACCTCTCTGTGGAGGTAAACAACACATCAGCACAGGGGGAGACACCCAGCACATTTTACTCTTCTGTACACAGGGTGTGCTCTGGGCGAGAGAAAGAGCCGTCTGTATTCACAAACACTACCTTTAAATGGTGGTTCTGTTGATGGAGGGCAGGAGAGGCAAGGTGAGCGAAGTGGCTTGCTCAAGGACAACCTAAATTACCTTTTTATTTTGCTAAAGTCAGAGATTTTATACTTAAGTTGTATATACTTTCTACTTAAAGTAGCGATATGTAAGATTATCATATCAAGTGATCATGAAATGGCCCTAATATTTCAAAAGGCATCAATAAACCATGTTCTTTGTGTGCCTTTTTCACGCACCACTTTGAAACAGAAAGGTTTCCTTGCAACAGGTATTGAGCTTTGGAATTTTCTGGATCCCTGTGAAAAATCCTGTAACACCATTGTACAGTTAAAGAAAATGTATAAGAAAAAAGTACTTGCAAATTATGGTAAATGATTGGTTGTTCAAAGTCCTACAAAAATAGAGGTAAACACAATTAAATCCACAATTACTACAGGGGGAAGCAGTTCTTTGCCAACACCGTGTACGGTGCGGGGGGTGAGCTGCTGACCTCGACCGGGGATATTGTCGGACGGTGGAAGGAATACTTCGAGGTTCTCCTCAATCCCCCCGTCACGTCCTCCGCTCCGGAGGCAGAGGCTGAGGATGTTGGGGCGGATACTTCTGTCACCCTGGCAGAGGTCACCAAGGTGGTTGGCAGTCTCCATGGTGGCAAGGCGCCGGGAGTGGATGAGATCCGTCCTGACTATCTAAAGTCTCTGGATGTTGTAGGACTGTCTTGGCTGACAGGTCTCTGCAACATCGCGTGGCGATCGGGGGCGGTGCCAATGGAGTGGCAGACCGGGGTGGTGGTCCCTCTCTACAAGAAGGGGGACCGGAGGGTGTGTTCCAATTATCATGGGATCACACTCCTCAGCCTCCCTGGTAAGGTTTACTCCAAGGTACTGGAGAGGAGGCTACGTCCGATGGTCGAATCTCGGATTCAGGAGGAGCAGTGTGGTTTTCGTCCCGGCCGTGAAACACTGGACCAGCTCTATACTCTCCATCGGATACTCGAGGGTTCATGGGAGTTCGCCCAACCTGTCCACATGTGCTTTGTGGATTTGGAGAAGGCGTTCGACCGTGTTCCCCGGGGTGTCCTTTGGGGGGTCCTCCGTGAGTACGGGGTCCGGGGTCCTCTGCTGAGGACCGTCCGGTCCCTGTATGACCGGAGCCAGAGCTGCGTGCGCATTGCCGGCAGTAAGTCAGACCTGTTCCCGGTGCATGTTGGCCTCCGCCAGGGCTGCCCTTTGTCACCGGTTCTGTTCACTGTATTCATGGACAGAATTTCTAAGCGCAGCCAAGGGTCGGAGGGGGTCCGGTTCGGGGACCACAGGATTTCATCTCTGCTGTTTGCGGACGATGTTGTCCTGTTGGCTCCAACGAACCAGGACCTACAGCATGCACTGGGACAGTTTGCAGTATCTCGGAGTTCAAGACCCCAAGATACTTGAACTCCTCCACTTGAGGAAGGGCCTCTCCACCCACCCGGCGAGGGCAAGGGACCTTTTTCCGGTCGAGCACCATGGCCTCGGATTTGGAGGTGCTGATTCTCATCCCAGCCGCTTCACACTCGGCTGCAAACCGTCCCAGTGCATGCTG